TATATATATATAGGAGCAGATATAAGATTTTTTTTCTTCTGCTGCTGCCTTTTGTTTTATCTGATTTGTATTGTTTTGTTGTATGTAATGTGTTTTTTTTATGAAATGAAATGAACAAAAAAAAGGAAAAAAGTCAGCTGTGACGCACGTGGTGAAACAGAGTTGCTAAAACAAAAACATTCTTCAAAACTATGATAGGGTAACGATGGGCTGGAGGTGTTAGAATACATGTGACGACTACTTTCTGTCTGAGTCACATCACAGAGGACCAGGATCTGAGTGACACGCTGCAAACTCATCAACACTCAGAAGTGAGGTGAGAGTTTATCCGAGATTTTTTTTTTTTTTTTTGTCGTGTGTGCGGAATCAAATTGTTTCTTTATGATGTATTTAATGCGAAATTCAATTCTAAAACATTTTTTATTTACAAAAGGATAACTTTATTAATGTGAGATTCACTTTATAAGTGCACACTTTTTAGGATAATAAAAACATTGTGATAATAATTGAGAGAGGATRATAAGAAAATATATTGTGATCATTTTTTTGCCATATAATCCAGCCCTACGTCCTAAAACAGTTCCCACGATTCTTGCATTTGGTTTTAAAGGCTACAATATACGTTTTATGCTGGTGCTACAGTTTTTTGTTCTGTGCTACAAAACCAGCAACCTGTGTAGAGCCAGTGCTATGAGCTACAAAAGGTACAGCCCTGCAGACATCTATCCATCCTATTTCTGCTGCTCATCAAAGACTGGGTTATCAGGTCAACAGTTTAAGCAGAAATCCTTAGACCTCCCCAGCTGCCTCATCCAACTCATCCAAAAAGTCTGCAAGCCCTTTCCAGGCCAGCTGTGAGATACAATCTGTCCAGCAAGTCCTGGTTCTGCCCAAAGGTTTCAAACCAGTGGAACATGTCTGAAACACCTCCTTTGGAAAGAATCCAGAAGACATCCTCTCCAGGTGTTCCACTGGTTCCTCTTAATGAGGAAGCGTAGCAACTACTCATCCTATCCCTAATGCTGAGTTCAGAACCTTAACTGTCCAATATTTCTCTGTACAAATGGGTCACAATTAGGACTATTGAGCTGTATCAGAAAACAGTTTGTTCATTCATGGATTAGAGAGTTGTGTTCAACGTTTAGCTGGACATTTCCTGCAAGTGTAGGGCTGCATTTCTGCTAATAAAGTTGGAGATTTTGTGTCCTCTTGGCTTGGAGAAAAAATGAGTAAGGAGGTATACTATATGAGAAGATAAGAATGAGTCCACGATGACTCATGATGACACTTTGAAGGCTTGTTTAATCTGATTGCTTCCTCTGATATTTAACACATAAGCAGACAATGATGTACCCCCAAAGTTCTTTTCTGTACATTTAATTTCTAATGTTTGAGTCATTAGTTGAACTAAAAACTATCCTCACAACTTTACAGCTGCACTGTAAATCAACTGGGCCACTCAAAGCTAATTATTACTTATATAAAAGTGAGTAAACAAAATGGCTGCCACAGGATTTGGGGTTGACAGAAGTGCAGCTTGTAAAGCCACAGGCTGAGTGTTGGTTTGGCTCAACACTGAGGCTCCAAGTCTGATCTCTCTTGTCTGAGCATTGCACTTATTTACTGCCAATAACTCAAGAATGATACCTTCAATTACATACACTTTTTTTTCAAACAAAACAACCACAAATTTAAGGAATTATATGGAGACAGGAAGGGAGAGAATTTTTGTTTCTTTCTTTCAGCCTGGACGGCCCATGTAGAAATATGATGGATGGTAATTTTAGAGCAGAAAGACAGAAAGCTGAAAGAGAATAAAAGACAGTTGCGGGGTTTGATCCAAAAATATTTGTGAGTTCAACTTGAAGTACACTGCACATATGTTACTAGTAGAGTTTACATCCACTTGTTTTGGAGGTATTTTCTTGTCTCGGGTATGCCTAAAAATGTGTTGAATTCCAGTTTTTACTTTTTTCTGATGCAGTACATGAAATATTACATTGCAGGTTTACCTTGTCCTCAGAAAAAAACTGAGTGGACTTTTCTCCCTGGACCTCAGTGATTAGATTCCTCAAGTTATTGCTCTTCCTGTTTTTTTTTTTATCAGCTTAATTTTACAAGGATCATTTAGAACAATTAAGACCACTAGGGACAAGAAGCCAGTGTCTCTCATGTCCCAGTCCTATGCACAGGTAAATGGTCAGGGTTGTGTCAGGAAGGACATAGGATGTAAAAAACTTTTACCAAAACAAACATACAAGTTCACCCAAGTGACACCATAACAGATCGGTCAAGACCCGGGTTAACAATGGCCAGCAACGCTGCTGTTGACAAACATGGTGATGATGGAAATGTTGCTAATGTTAGTCAAAGAAGAGAAATGTGTCAGGAAAAAGAGAGAAGATGGAAGTCAAGAGTGACAGCTTTAACTTCAGGGATAATGACAGGTAAAGGTAGAGAGCTGCTGATATGATGCAGAGATGGAAGGTGTAGATGTTTTATGTGTCCAGGACACCAAGTGCTCATCTGACTGGAATTCAGCACTCTGTGATGAAGTCCAGTCAGGAGGAGAGACAATATCTGAGCTGAGACAGAGAAATAGAAGAGACCCCTGCTCACTCCCTCTCTTCTCATTTACTTTCCGGGAAAACCTAGACTGTGATTTCCAGACACACAATGGGGTCACTGAAGGGAGGTCCAGGACTGGTTCTAATTACAAACTGCACTGTAAGGAAAATGTGTGTGTGTGTGTGTGTGTGTGTGTGTGTGTGTGTGTGTGTGTGTGTGTGTGTGTGT